CAACTAATGACCGATCTTTCATTTTGTAAAAGTAGCGACTAATTCAACTTTTCCTTTTCTCTCCTCTTTCGTCTTTCCCTGCAAGGAAGAACGCCAAGTTGATTTTCGCGCCCCTTCTCTCCTTTCCCTTTCCGCTGTGCCCCCTTTCTCTCTCCATTCCACTCGTTTTTATTTTCTCTCTTCCCTATTCCATACTCTTGCCCGTCCTTATCTTCTTCCTTCTCTTCTTTCTACCTGTTTTTATATCCTTCCTTCCTTCTTACCATTTTTTTCTTCCGCCTCCTTCTCTTTTTCCCCACCCTTCCTTCTCTTCTCCCCTTCTTCTTCTTCTCCTCCTCTTAATCTTCCTTCTCTCTCCTCTTCCTCTCTCCTCCTCCTCTTCTCTTCCCTCCACCCTTCTTCCTCCTTCCTCTTCCTTCCCTCCACCCTTCCTCCTCCTCCTCCTCCTCCTTCTTCTTTCTTCTCCTCCTCCTAACTTCCTTCCTTCTCCTTTTCCTCCTCCTCCCCTCCTCCCTCTCCTCCTCCTTCTCTCCTCCTCCCATTCCCCAAACCCTCCCTCCCTCGCCTCCTCCTCTTTCCTCCCCCTCCTCCTCCTCCTTCTCCTCCTCCTTCCTTCCTCTCCTTCTCCCTCCTTCTCCTCCTCCTCTCCTCCTCATTTTCCTCTACTCCCCCTCCTCCCCCCCCCCGCCTCCCCTCCTCCCTTAATCAGATGCACGCCCGCAGGTGAGAGTCGATCGATCCAAGTGTTACGCATTAAGTCTCCCGAGGAGTGTCTGGGGCCGAGGAGTGCCCCGCCGAGTGCCAGCGCCGCCGGGAGTGCCAGTGGACGGGGCGCGAGCGAGTGCGGAGGGAAAGAGTGGTTGGGTGGAGTGGGGGGGGGCAAGGGGAGGGGGGGGGTAAGCTCTGGAGTGCTTTTGGACATCGCTTGATTGGTAGGGGGCGGCGCCTCTGGGTTGATTTCTCCCATGTGTGGGTGTATATATATATTTATATATGTATATAGACATGTATACATATAAATATATATATGATATATGTGTATATTATATATTATATATATATATATATATATATATATATATATATGTATATATAAATAATGTTATATTATATGTATGTATGTATATATACATGTATATTTTTTTCATGTGCATGTCTGGTGTTTTTTTTGTGCTTGTGAGTATTTGTCATTTCCTTTGAGTCATGAATTGATCGCACACTTCCCTCCACTCCCCTTATGCCACCCCCCTCCCCAGTCCACCCCCCCTACCCGGGCGCACGCGAGCCAGGCTCATCCTGCTCCCTCCGCCCCCCCCCCGCTCCCCCGCGGCCGCCTGACCTCCGCCCCTGGCAATTCCCTGACTCACAGCTGACGAAGCCGCGACGTCCCGGATGTGGGGCTTCTTGGGAGGAACTGATCGTCTGCGCTTCGCTGGGCGTGAAGCGCTCGTCATTTGACTCACGTCACTCACTCACTCACTGCTCTCTCGTCTCTCTCTCTCTCTCTCTCTCTCTCTCTCTCTCTCTCTCTCCCCCTCCCCCTCCCCGCGGTATATCGTCGCTGTTCGTCCATGCGACTGACACGCCTGGCACTCAGGTGGGCGAGCCCTTAGTGTCGGCGCCGAGGCAGTCTCTGGCGCCGCGCGAGTGTGAGGCGAAACCCATCGGAGGCAAATGAAATAAGCCACTTCCTACGAGCCGGAGAGAGGAGAGAGAGAGAGGAGAGGAGAGAGAGAGAGAGAGAGAGAGAGAGAGAGAGAGAGAGAGAGAGAGAGAGAGAGAGAGAGAGAGAGAGAGAGAGAGAGAGGGAGAGAGAGAGAGAGAGAGAGAGAGAGAGAGAGAGAGAGAGAGAGAGAGAGAGGAGAGAGAGAGAGAGAGAGAGAGAGGAGAGGAGAGAGAGAGAGAGAGAGAGAGAGAGAGAGAGAGAGAGAGAGAGAGAGAGAGAGAGAGAGAGAGAGAGAGAGAGAGAGAGGAGAGGAGAGAGGGAGAGAGAGAGAGAGAGAGAACCAACTTCTTTCCTGAGGCCAGCGGAGACCCCCCCCTCCCTCCGAAGCTAGGGGAGGTTGGAGGTGGGGGGAGGGGGATCTTAATTAGTCTCGATTAGCAAGCGCAGGGTCATTTGCCTAATAACCGGCGCCGATACTGACGTATGTTGGGAAGGTTCGGGAAGGAAATTGGCTGATGGGAGAGAGAGAGGGAGAGACTAGTTGAGATAGACTGATATATTAGCATAGGGGGAAAGACAGGTTGTAAGATAGATGGTTGAACGCGTGTGTGTGCAGATTGGTGGAGGTAGATAGATGTAGAGAAAAACAGACAGATAGACTGACGAATAGATAGATGACAGGCTGAGAGACATATATATATATATATATATATATATATATATATATATATATATATATATTATATATATATATATATATATATATATATATGCGTGTGTGTGTGTGTGTTTTTTTAGAAAAAAAAGCAGAGACAAAAATCAATCACAAATGATAACGACAGAATGAGGACAAAGACAAAAATCGAAAACCGAAATGAAATGAGAGCAAAAGGGAGGCATAAATCACCCATCATTAACCCCCCCCCCATCCCCTAACCCCACCCCTTTCTTCCGAGATGTCTTGTTGTGCTCCTTAAGTGCCCTCGAGACTTCGCTGACTCCTCCCTCTTGGCGACTCTCGGGCACATCGACCAGCTGATGCGACGGGAGAGATATGGGGGGAGGGGCGGAGGGGAAAGGGGGAGGATGGGGTGGATGAAGAGGGGGGTGGGGATGGCGGTTAAGGAGGAGGGGGAAGGGGTGGGGAAGGGGTAGTGGAGAGGATGGGGATGGGGAAGGAAGGGAGGAGGACGATGGGGATAGATGGAGAAGAAGAAGAAGAAGAAGGTGAATGAGAACAGGGACAGAAGGAAGAGAGAGAAGGAGTATAGACCGTGCGAAGAGAGCGAAAGAGGGAAGAGAGAGATGAAGAGGCAGAGGAGACAAAAAGATTTCTCGACGCTCGGACAAGGCAGAGGTCGAGGTCCAGCTCATGTGACCGGGCGAGGAAGGGGGGGGGGGCATTTGTGCTCGTGGAAGTCTGTGTTTCAGCGCCTGGGTCCCTCGCGGTGGTCGGGTGGTCGGGATTGTCCGTTTTCTCCTCTCCTGTCTCTTTCCTGTGTCTCATTTGCACTCCTACCTCCTCCTCTCTCTCTCCTCCTCTTCCAACAGACTCTTCTACAATGGCCGGGCCATTCGGACACATTTATCCATCTAAAGAAATGAACTACAATATTCTCCTCCGTTTTTTATCAGTTCTTATCACGAGGAGAATAATTGCTCATTAGCGAATTTATGATAAATAATCAGTCCAAAAGATAAGGAAAAGACGAAATCAGCGCCTGGATACGAACATCCGCAGCCAGACCCTCGCAGACCCGTTCCCGCGCTTTTCCTCTGTTCAAACATTTATTCAGCGAAAATTACACGGTTTACGCTAATCTCCTGGAAGGTATTCAATTCTCCTTTTGTATTATATATGTTTTAGCTTTTTGACTCATTTGCAAGTTTCAGATTTTTTTTTTTCTATCCACCTGAGTAAATAGAATATTCTTCAAAAATGCTGACTTGTGTGTTTTTTTTTTTCTCTCTCTCTCTCCCCTCTCTCTTCTGTTTACTTTTTTTCGTTTTGGCTGAAAAGAATGAATGATTCTGATACGTTAGCAAGTTGGATGTTTGAGCGGCAAATATTTAATATAGTTATCTGCTGTTGAGGCGAAATGATATAGGGAGACAGACAGACAGACAGACGGACAGACAGGCAGGCAGACACAGATACACAGACAGATAGACGAACGGACAGGCAGACTGACAGACAGAGGAGAGAGGTAAGATGGGGGGAGGGGGGTACATTAATAGAGAATGGAGGGGAAAGTGGGGAGGTAAGGGATAACGTGAATAGGGAGAGGATGGAATAAAGGGGGAAAGAAGGGGAAGGGACGAGAGTACGGGGTGGGGGGGGGGGTGGGGGGAGGGAGGAGGGGGGGGAAGATGTGGGGGTCAGGGCCAGGTGAGGCACGCGCCAGTTTAGGCTGAACTTGGCGAGCGAGTACAGCGGGTGAGTACGTGTGCGTCGTGGCGTGGGCGGTGAAGGGGGTCGGGAGCCGTGCTTTCTGCCGGGCGGGCGGGGAAAACTTCGCTTGGCTGGGAGAGGAAGTTTCGTCTTGCGAGCTCGTGCTGTCTGTAGTGTTTTGTGGTTTATTATTAGCATCTTTATTGATGTCATTATCATTACTGCAATTACCATTACTCAGCTACTGTCGTCGACATTATTATTGTATATATATATATATATATATATATATATATATATATATATATATATATATATATATATATATATCATCATTGATATTGTATTATCATCATCAATTCATCATTATCACTCTCCTTATCATCATTTCTCGTTACGCCATCGCCTTTGTGACACCGACATTCGTTTTACCGGTCGTTTTTCGCGCCAGCCTTGTCCGTTTCCGCTGCTGTGTCTTCCGGTTCGATGTCGCCGATAAAGCGAGCGAGGGGCGTGTGGCCACTCACCCTGGGGCGCCGTGCAGCCGTCGCCTCGTTGCACTGGGCTCTAAGGGTGGCTTTGATTTTTTGCTTTAATTCGTGTATGTGCCTTTGGAAGTTTGTGTGTGTGGTGTGTGTGTGTGTGTGTGTGTGTGTGTGTGTGTGTGTGTGTGTGTGTGTGTGTGTGTGTGTGTGTGTGTGTGTGTGTGTGTGTGTGTGTGTGTGAACAATGATGAAAATAATAATACATCATATTACAATCATTATACTAATCTTGTATCGATTTACCGACAATGCTACCAACACCCATTATGCATGTTACCATCTCTTATGACTTGGAATACCCTCCTTTCTTATAATAAATAAATAAATAGATAAATAATGAACAAAAAAAAGTAAATAATAGAAGATAATATTAATAATGTCAGGTCCTAGGCTCGCAGCTAACCCTTCCTTCCCCTTGCAGAGAACGCCATGGGCCTCGTCGGGTCGGCCAAGCGAGTCCTCCGTGCCCCACGCGAGCCATGCGCCGAGGGGGGACGCTGCTGCTGCTGTGGTGCTCCTTCTGCTACCTCGTGTTCAGGTGGGCGAGCGGAGGCAGGGGGACGGAGGTTGAGGAGAGGAAGAGGGAGAGGGAGGGAGGGAGAGAGAAGATGGAGAGGGAGGGAGGGATGTAAAGAGGGAGAAAGAATAGGGGATAAAGTGTGTGTGTGTGTGTGAGAGAGAGAGAGGGAGGGGGGGAGATAGGGGGGTGGGGAGAGAGATTCTATTGGTAGATGTTGAAAGAACTTGTGATTGATAGGGCTGTCGGGTCAGATTTGCAGAGCATTGATACCTTAGAATGCAAATATAATGGGAGCAATTACTCTTTAGATGAAGATATCGAAGTTAGCAAACTCTTTGAAATCAATTGTAGTGTTATTTATAATTGTACATTAAAGCAGATTGATGAGCCAGATTTGCACAATAATCTAGGATAATAGAACGTAAATTTAGATGTTAAAAATGTCGAGCACTCGATGTTAACACTGATAATCGATGTACTTTTTAGCATTTGTCTCTGTTAAGCATGAAGCCATTTGAGAAAATAAAATATTTACCATGAGTCGCGTATCTTATTTAGCGTCTAAAAAGTAGTCTCGGGAATTGTATTAGAATATTTCTTTGCTGCGTATCGTCACTGACGAAGGCCATTCCCGGCAGGTTCTCCGGCCAGGACGAGTCGGCGTTCAACCACGCGGGCACGATGACGGGCCGCCTCCTGCTGCAGAAGATCGTGGAGACGCGCGCGCCGCCGGTGGCCACCACGGAGGCCAGCTCACCCAACGCCACCACGGAGTTCAACCCCCATGAGCTCGAGCCCTCCATCGACAAGTCCCCCTCGCTCTCGGAGAAGGACCTGGCGGCGCAGATCCAGGGCCTGATCCCCAACCTGCCCGTGGAGTACTGGCAGAAGTACAAGGGCAAGGTCCTCTCCAAGAACAAGACCTGCGCCAAATTCCCTTCCCTCTACGACATCAGCTTCAACAACATGTACTGGCAGACGCTGCAGACGAGCAACGGCACCTTCCACCTGTACGGCGCCTACTACGACAACCGCACGCTGGTGGCGATGAAGCCGGTGATCAGGGTCCTGGGCATGATCAACCGCCTGGAGCCGCGCGTCAAGACCTTCTGCCAGCTGTGGTTCGACGGCTACAAGGAGCCCGTGTTCGCCAAGGTGTGGGAGTACAAGTACATCTGGTACAAGAAGTGGGGCAATTACAAGAACGGCCTCTTCCAGCCCTACCTGATCGCATGCCAGGTCCCGCCAGGCTACAGGCACCTGGTCCCCGAGTCAGTGTCCTTGGTGGAGCGCCCTTGCGACATGGCCACCACCAACCTCAGGGTCATCAACAACCGGCCTCCAAACGGCAAGAAGGAGGACTTCGCCGTGTGCGTGAAGGGGCTCGACTTCCTGCATGACGACCTGAGTGTGCGCCTAGTGGAGTGGCTGGAGATGCTTTTCCTGCTGGGGGCGCACAAGGTGTTCCTCTACGACCTGGAGGTCCATCCCAACATCTCCAAGGTGCTCAACTACTATGAGGAGCAGGGGCGCGTCGAGGTCACGAAGCTGACCCTGCCTGGCGAGCAGCCCAACATCCCCGGCCTCATCCACATGTACCTCAAGTCGAAGGTCACGAACAAGAGGCAGAACGAACTTATTCCCTACAACGACTGCCTCTACAAAAATATGTACCGCTACAAGTACATTGCCTTGCTGGACACCGACGAGGTCATCATGCCCAAGAGCTCCATGACGTGGAAGTCCCTGATGGAGACGGTGGTGCCCAAGGCCCTCAAGACCAAGAAGGACCCCCGCGCGTCCTACAATGTGCGGAACGTCTACTTCATGGACACGATGCGCCACACCCACGGCTGGTTCAGGGAGATCCCCCACTACATGCACATGCTGCAGCACGTGTACCGCTCGCGCAACTACACTAAGCCCGGCCAGTACGTGAAATGCTTCCACGACCCCGGCCGCGTCCTCACGCTGCACAACCACTTCCCTCTCTCGTGCCTCGGCGGCGGCTGCTCCTCCTACGCCATCGACACCGAAGACGCGCACCTGCAGCACTACCGAGCCGACTGCGTGACCACCCTGAAGAAGTCCTGCTCCACGGAGTACAAGAACCATACCATCCTCGACACCACCATATGGAGGTACCGGGAGCCGCTGGTGGGGCGGGTCACGGACACCCTCGTGCGCCTGGGCTTCTTCACCCCTGGCACGGCGTCCAGACCCAACGACCCCCCCGCGTCGGCCGTCAGGAGAAAGTGATCCCCCGCGCTCTAGTGAGTCGCCGAAGGTGGTGTTGTCCATGTGCCTTACCTGGTGTGATCCGCCCGCAGTCAGGGTCAAGCGTTGCCCTTCCGAGTCCCGATATCATCCTCACTGTCAAGTCCTCCTCCCCTCCCTTTGCCACCTCCTTCCTCCCCCTGTGCCTCCGCCGAGGTGGAGGGTGGCATCGTCCCTGTGGTGATTCTTGCGACATATCTTCATGCTGTGTGAGTGGGCGTGGCGGCGCGGCAGGACTGTCTGAAGTGTCACGACCTCCCGCATATTCGCCAGCGTCGGGCATAAATGTCGAGAACGTGGTTTATTCACCTCTAGTGACGCGTGTGTCTTTTTATATATTAGAAGGGTATTGGATATTTTTATGAACGGTGAATGCTTATGAATAATATAGCCAGATTCCCATTTGGAAACTGAAAACAATATTAGCTAAAGCACAACTTCAGGTGCCACCATCAGCTGCTGTAGAGAGAACAGCGTAAATATATCTGCACAAATTCATTTCCCAACAGATTTATTATTCAGTGTTTGTGGCTTAGTATCTTAAAACGTAAAACCAGTATGATCCATATCTTCTCTCACGAGGGAGGGACAGTCACCGGTGTGGAATACGAAGACTCAACTGTGATTTGTAGACTGTACGACCTTACAAAGCAGTAATGTAAATATAGCTTAGGATTAGCAAATTTCGCCCTCCATTGTCACTAGGTCAAGCTCCGGCCACGCGAGGGCCGGCTTCTCTGTGTTGTGCGTCAGTTTCATCTTTATTTTATTTGGGGTTTTCATATTTATCAGTATTAAGGAAATTGCAAAAGACAATATTAATATTGAAATGTTTTATTTGTTTGTTGAATTTTGTTTGTTTTTTGCAGGGTGGGTCGGAGGCGAACAACCGTCTTTGCTTTGAGATTAAACCTATTTATATTAGGGTCACGCATATCAAAACTACAATATCAACAAATGTGAAATGTTAAATAATGATAGCAAAACATTTTCAACATGTCAATTTTTCATTCAGTTTGCAGGTGTCCCATTGCGTGCAAACGACCTCAAGTACTTAAGACCCAATAATGTGTGATAATGAATAAACCACAACATATCAGTGCTAGGAAGTGAAACCATATTTTAAAGTTCTTTCATTGACAGCAAGGAGAAACTGCCAGATTTCTCAGCCAAAGCCATGATAAACTGATTACGAAGGCAAGTCCTTATACAATTGGACTTCATCGGGTAATAATAGTCGTTGACATGGTTATTTGTTTAAGCCGATTACTTCGCTTTCATTTCATTATTATAATTATTATTTTATTCATATTTAGTCATTTTCGTTTTATTCTATTTAAACAGTTTTGTAAAACAACGTTGTCTACGGGAAAATGAAATGCATTAGAGCGTCGATACTATCGATGCCTTTATTATTTAGAAACTACTATCAATCATTCTTCTTAAGTTATTCCTCTCTTCATTTCACATTTTGTGCCTTTTTCATTAACCATTCCGTTCGTGTTAAGTCTGCTTTCATTCTTCTCGCACGATAAAAATGAAAAGAAAGAAAATTGAATTGTATTAAGATTTTTGTTTCAGGTGTGAGAGGACGACTAGACCTTTAATTTCTATTTAATTTGGTGTTGTTTCGTGGTAAAACAAATGATAATTGCACGTGAAAACAGACCTTAGTTATATAATTGATGCTTTAAAAAAGAATGTTGTATTTTTTCCTCTCCTTTCCTGTATTTATAACGTGCCCTGTTTGTTGATAAAGACAAATTGGCACCTGTTTGTTTTGCATAGACTATTAAGGTTGAACGTGACTTCTCTGTGAATAGGCAACCAGGGGTAATTTCTGCCAGGCAACCTTTTTCTCTTGAATCATCCAATCATATTCATTTTGAGTGCCATTTTCATTAATGCCTTCTGTATATATTAAACTTAAGTCCGTTTTTTGTATCGAACACTTAATAAAGCTGTAAAAGTTTGTGTGTGGTTTCCTTGTGGTTTCCTTGGAGATACAGATTCAGATATCAAGCTAGACCTGAGGAATAAATATGTTTAAGAAATTCTGGTATACCATATTTTCCTGTCAAAGAAATTGTGGATTTGGCACCCTTTACACCTTGATTTCCATTGTATAGATACCCACATCCCTGCTCTCTCACCTTTAAAGGTCACTGTACCATGTAGCCAAAAATAAGTGTGTTTAGGAACGTATTTACTTGATATAGATATACATAAAGGATAAAACGTGCTACCCTTCTCAACGGAGACTAATTAATCCCTAATTTTCCAGCCAGAGGCACTGGCTCTGAGAGGTTTGGCAGAGAAATAGAGCAAGGGGATTCCTGTTTATATAGTTCCATTCCATACACCATTGGACAGCAGTGCCCAGGATTTGTTGACAATGTAAGTTCAATATATAGATTTTAAAAGATTCCAGAATAAGAATAAACTATATAATAAACTACCAAATGAAGGACATAAGGAACTACTTCCTAAGCTCTAATATCAAAGCCGGATTTACGCATAAAAAGAAAACTACAACCTAGGACTGCGGTTCTCAATTCGTGTACCTTGATTATCTTTCGAGCGTATGTGGCAGATGTGTATCTTGCTTTGAAATTTTTTTTTTTTAGTCTGGAAAATTATCAAAATGTAGCCAAACCCAAGTTAACCTAATCAGAAGTTCCCATTTAGTTTTCTTGGAGACTGATTTGCAGTAGTTTGTACACTTTCTAGAGTATATGATAGCTGCATATATGTGTAATACGTCCGTTTTCGTATATTAATTGAGTAAAGAGTTGGTGTCACAGACGTCTATGGTATCATTCTCGTGTGTCACCACGCAGCCTCCAAATCATAGTGACTTTTCAGAATTTAATGTATATTACATCTGTATGAGACTCAATTGTTCCTGCTAATGATAAAAAGAATCATTTTAAATGTTTTCAAATTCTGCGAAACCCTCATTTTCAGTAAACTAGTTACCTCCAAGCTTCTTTATAATGCCTAGGGCATCGGTAAGTCTGAATCATGCCTCCCCCCCCCAAAAAAAAATAATAATAAAAATAATGATTCTTTCCACCTTGAGGTCGAAGAGGTAATTGTTGTTGCAAGCACACTGGCCAATAAAGTGGTCTTAAATCAGACACACACACGCCGTCTCCCATTGATTTGCCAATTGTGACTGCCAATGTGTGCGCGCGCCAGTCAGGTCAGCTGGAGAGTAATGATGTACTGGACAAGCAAAAATAAGCAGTAAAGGAGGAGGGGGCAGAGGAGGGAGAATAAGGATTAGAAATTAGAAGATAGATTACAAGGAGAGTCGAAAGTCGACAATCCTTGTATGGGACTTTTGTGTCATGCGTGAACCTTTCAGAGCTCCCTACTTATAAGAAAATTATTTTTGTAGAGGATGCTTCAGCTAATATGACTGAATATAAACGAATGTACTTGCTTTGAGCAGGGGATTGAACGAAAATACAACACGAAAAAAATATATGTTTAAACTGGAAACATTGGACGAAAAAAAGAGCGATTACCTAGCCGAGCGAGAAAAAAGACATGCATTTTTTCACCTAAACAATTAGCTGAACACGAAAAAAATCTGAAATAAACAGGAACAGTTGGTGAACGAAATAAATAAGAAATGAACATTTTTGGTGAACTAGGCACCCTTCCTCCCAACACACCCTATACCACCACCCCCAGACTTCCTATGCATTCCTTCCCTGTTATTCCTTCCGCTCCATCATGGATGCACACGTGGCCCTTTTGCCACAACAAACCCGTCCCTGGACCCTCCCCCTCCTGGTATTTCTCCTGAAGCTGCTCCTTCACCTGATCGCCCTTAACCCCCTTTCCCCCCTTGCTTACTCCTACCTGACCCCATGTACATCCCTACTGAATCCCACACTTTCCTTTGACAACTTTGGTCTAATCATCCTTTTCCTGATGCCTATCTTAAACCCATTTATTCGCCCCCTCTACCCCACCATTCTTTGTCCATATCAACAGCATACTACCCTGAACAGCTCTACGAGGTCTGACGTGTACCACATTTAATCATCAACTATCATCTTTACACTCTTTCACTACTACACCTATCTCTAGTCCTACATGGCCTTTGATGTCTAGCACATCTATTTTGCTTTGTAACTATTAACCATCCTTTGATGAAACGGGTAACTGCTCGACATGAGAAAGTGATAAACAAGAGAAAGTGATAAACAAGAGAAAGTGATAAACAAAAGAAAGTGATAAACAGGAAAAAATTAAGTCCCAGAGTTCCGCTGGTATAAGAAATCATGAAGCACACAACTGCAAGAAAAGCAAAAAGGCTCGACAAAGGCATAAACAAGGAGACGAAAAACGAGGCCGGAGGGAAGGGAAGAGCAATGGCATGGCGAGAAGGGGTGTGATGCGGGTGATTAGGTTAGACGGAAGGCGCTTAAGGCAGGTTGAACAAAAAAACAATTGTGTTGGATTTGTGAATTTTACTAGATCTGACCGATACAAAGGGGAGGGAAATGCAGAATATTAGATACTCGGTAACAGGAGGGCGAGGATGATAAGTCAGAACAAGAAGGGGAATAAAACAATTATATGGGAGAGCTAAAACACTTAAGCAGAGGAAGGAAGCGGGAGAAGCGCCAGCGCAGTCTAGGGGGTGCTCGGGACGCTCCTAAAATTCGAATGCACGAGAAACAAAGGTCCGTAAATTTGAATGTGAGACATAAAAAGTACAAGGAACTCGTTTAAGTGTATAACGCAGATGAACAAGGACTGCGCGCATGTAATTGCTCCGTAGATGTTATCTTTAACATCAAATATGGAAAGTCAATGCTAATTGGCTTATTTGTCTTCAATTATGTATATTTTCCCTTCCTTCTCTCGCATTCCTTTCCCGCTTCTTTTTTGACTCTCGTGTGCGCATTATGCAACTGCAGGAAAACTTTATTTCAGTTTTTCACTTTTTTATTATCAATATTGCTTTGTTTTATTTCCATTTTTAACACATTACCGTAAAATGGAGTTGGATCCTGGCCATTGCTTACGCGTGCGGCCACTATAGGTGGTTTGTGCATTATGACGTTCTCGTAGTTTTATGGTGTTCTTATTAGCGGTTTGCGCAAGCGAGTGTTTAGCAGTTCTAAGCTCTGTAATCCTGCGTAGAGTCTCTGCAGATATTAATTTAGTATATTTCGTTCCGAGTCCCCAACGTACTGCTCTGCTATGGACATCTCGCACCCTAAGACTTTCTCTGCTTGGCAATGCAACCAGCTGATCGGGTACGTTTTTGAAGAAGGGGACTGAGTGATATTTTGGCTGTAGTGATGGGGTGTTCTGTGCCGCGGGACTAAAGGCCTTTTGCTGGGCGGCATTGGGTCCCTGTTTGCCTGTCGATGGACTGCCTTGTGGGCGTGCATTTAGGGTTACATGATCTTATGCCATCGACAGGATTACAACCTGCTCGATGACATTTCATTGGCGTAACCTTAGCTTTTGTATTTTGCAGCTCCCTAGTCAGCTTTTTCTCTCGGTGCGCATCCAGGTCAGCTTTGGGGCGAGACATTGATAGTAACAATGACTGGTAATAACATTATATTAACAATAACTGGTAATAATGTGATAGTAACAGTGCCTGGTGATAGTAACAATGACTGATTATAATGATAATAATGATGTTAAGAATAGCAATATTAAAGACGATAATGATGAAAACATAATAGAACAATAATGACAATGATGAGAACGATAAAAATAAAGATAAATAATGACAGTGATGATTAATAATTATTATTGTTGTTATCAGTATCATCATATCATCATCATCACTATTATCGTCTGTTACTAACATTATCAATATTATCATTATCATTATTATACTACTAAAACTATTGTTATTATTGTTATTAGTATCATCATTATTAATACCAATGCTATTATCATTATTATCTTAATCATTATCATCTTCGTTAGTGTTATTGCTAATACTACTATTACTGTTACCATCATCATTATCATTATTGCTAATATTATTGATAATATTACTACTACTACTACTGGTATTGTTGTAGTAGTGCTATCATTACCATTATCATCATTAATACTAATGTTATAATCATTATCATCATCATTACAACGACTACTACTACTGTTATTCTTATTATTATCTTCGTCCTTATCATTTTCATTATAATTGTTTTAATTATTAATGACATTACTACTATTACTACTACTATCATTATTCTTACTATTGATATTACTAATACTACTATCATTATCATAACAATATTCAACATATCAATAATAACACTGATAATGATGATGATGATGATAATAATAATAATAATAATAATAATAATAATAATAATAATAATAATAATAATAATAATAATAATAATAGAATGAAAAATGACGAAAATGATATTCATAATGCTATTGATAATGCCCTAATGATGACAATGATGATGAAAATGAAATAGATGTAATACTGATAAAAATAGTGTTAATGATACAGATAACAATAGCAGTAATAATAATAATAATAACGATATTGATGGTAACAAAAACAATTATTAGAATAACAACACTGATACCAAAAACAGCAATAAAAACAAAACCATAAAACAAACCAAAAAAGCAAGGGTCACGGCACCTCCGGAGAAGACCTTCCCGTCGGCCTGGGATGGACGCGAGCGCTGGGCCTCCGCGCGGGGTCGGCGCTCCGACCACTCCGCCATCGCTGCCTGGAAATTCCTTTGGCTTTTGATGGATTTATGATCATTAGAACAGCCTCTGTGTTCATCATCGGAGCCGGAGACACGATGGCTGAAAATAAGCACTATAGATAGTTACATTGATTGATTAAGATGTAAATAAAATGTTTGTGAAGTCATTGTTTAAGGGCAAACGTTTCAAAAATGATAAGACACTGATTTCTGAAGTCACTTCATGGTGGTGATAATGATGGTAATGA